CGCTACTTTTAGGAAGGTATACCAGTGCCGCAGCTAACATGCTGTGGTGTGAATGAGGTGTAGCCCAGGCTTAAATTGAAGCACACACTGGCCTACAAATCCAAGGTTTTCCAATTTGAAAGCCAGTCCTTGCACCCTTTGATATATGGCACCGTCACTTACTCTGAAACACTGCCAAGCCACAAGTCTTGCCTGTTTTTTAGTTAAAAAGGCATTCGCGTGTTTACAGGGATATAAGGCTTCACACGTGTTGGTGCAGTGGCCAAATTTACCTCGTTCCTTTGGTAATGTTCCACCAACACTTAAAAGTAGAGAATACATTATGTTAGCTCAATACAACTAAAATAACATGGCAACTCGTTTATTTAAAATGTGTGTGTGTGAGTGTGAGCAGTAGTGTAACGGTTAGCATGCTGCACTACGAATCCAGAGACCCGAGTTTGAGTACCACCCATGGCCAACATCAGTGACGATTATCTGAACCGGTCCTAGGCCTCACCTAGGTCGACTCAGCCTCAAATGAGTTCCTGATGCGGCATGTGAACATTTCTACTAGGGCGACAAAGGCGGCCGGGCGTGGTGCCGGCCACCCACCCCCTCATGTGCCGAGTCGACTTTCATATGCGCTCGCTAACAGCACTTGCCCCAACCGTCTGTTAATTCTATATGGGGAATCTTTGTCTTGCACAGTTGATCAGTGATATGCACTTTAATAGATTTCATGCTCTTTAAAAAGACATTAATAATTGACAATATGCTCTCGGCAGTTTAAAGGAATATTTCTCACGGAATGATAACACTAACAATTTTTTTTTGTTCCTGGGTAGTAAGTGTTATTTCCTAATTTCTTATGCCTGAAAAGTACAGAAAATGGCTATTATTCTCAACAAACTTTGCTTTTGTGACCAGGACATTGGTATTTTGAAATATACATATTTTCCAGAACATTCCAGATAGATTCAGTGCTGAGTAAACTTGGGGTAACTTCTAGAACATTCTAGAACTTACCAGTAATATAAATAGCAGTATACATACAGGGGCCTTAAGTCCACCAGTTCAGTTTAGTTCCAGCTGCCTAAGTGAATACATATCTGCATTTTTCTGAGATGGCATCAAGAGGCTGCAAGCATCTGGCAGACGCATTTTGCTATGTCTGCGGCCAATTTATCAAGACAAGAGCGAAAACGTATTCTGTGGAAGCATCTGCTAAGATGTGCGAGGCATGTTTCGGCCTGCCTGTCAGGGATCAAGACAAACCCTGGGCACCTCATTTCACCTGCAAGCAATGCACAAAAAACTCTGGAAGGTAAGATGGACAATTGTTGCTCGGAATTTTATGTTATACAATTTGTAAAAAAAAAATAAGTTTTACATAAAAAAATGTTTTACAATTTTCAATGTTATTGAAAAATATATAATATATGAAAAATGTTGCGAGAATCTCTTACACATTGGTCATGGGTGAAATAAATGTATTTTTATAGGATAGTCCAGAGGGGAAATGAGAGGCATGAAGTTCGCTATCCCAAGAATTTGGCGGGAACCTACTGACCACTCAAGCAACTGCTACTTCTGCATGGTGGACGGACCCTCACAAACGTCGGACTGGCAAGAATGCACCTGCTATCACGTATCCGGACCTTCCTTCATCCATCCTTCATCCATTGCCCCGGTGCCACACTGCCATGAGCTCCCCGTACCCAGTCCTCCGGAGAGAGCAGCCGTCTTTAGAAGAGAGCAGCAAATCAGAGAGCGAGGAAGACGTTGTAGATCCAGATGACAATTTCAGAGGTGGAGCTGAGGAGAGAAACTCATACTACCCCAACCAAAAATACCTCAACGACTTGATCAGAGATCTTGGTCTCACCAAGTCCAATGCCGAGCTTTTGACGTCCAGTCTCAAGCGGTGAAACTTGTTGGATGAAAGTGTGCAAGTCGCAGATCAGAGGAAGCGTCACCAACCTTTTTTCAGCTTCTTCACCCGTCAAGATGGGCTCTGCTTCTGCCACAATGTCACTAGTCTGTTCGAGGCTATTGGAATTGCCTGTAACGAGAATGAGTGACACCTCTTCATTGACAGCTCATCCAGGAGCCTCAAAGCCGTGCTGATCCATAATGGTAACAAGTACCCGTCTCTTCCCCTGGCTCACTCGATGCATCTCAAAGATAATTACAAAAGCATCAAGACCTTGCTGGACGCCTTAAAGTATGATGAGTACGGCTGGAAGGTCATCGGAGACTTCAAAATGGTGGCATTCCTGATGGGTCTCCAAGGCGGTTTTACCAAGTTTCCCTGCTATCTTTGCCTTTGGGACAGCAGGGACACCAAGGCGCACTACCACAGGCGGGACTGGCCAAAGCGGACCGATTTCTCTGTGGGGAGGAACAACGTCAAGTGGGAGCCACTGGTGGACCCCCGGAAGGTGCTGATGCCACCACTGCACATCAAATTGGGCCTTATGAAACAATTTGTCAGAGCTGTAGATAAGGAGTCGGCAGCCTTCAAATATCTTCAAGACTTCTTCCCTAAGCTGGCAAAGGTCAAAGCCGGTGTCTTCGTCGGACCACAGATAAAGAGGATCCTGGAACGCAATGAATTCCCCAAGAAGCTCATGAGTAAAGAGAACGTGGCTTGGAACAGCTTTGTTGCAGTGGTTCGTGGCTTCCTGGGCAATCACAAGGTCGCAAACTATGTGGAGCCGGTTGAGACTCTGGTGAAGAACTACGGCACAATGGGCTGTAGGATGTCCCTCAAAGTCCATATCCTTGATGCTCATCTTGATCAATTCAAGGAGAGCGTGGGAGCGTACTCGGGGGAGCAAGGCAAGTGCTTCCACCACAATATACTTAACTTTGAACGCCGCTACCAAGGACAGTATAACGAGAACATGATGGGAGACTACATATGGGGGGCTGATTCGTGAAAGTGATTTACAGTATCATCGTAAATCCCGAAAAACTACTCACTTCTAAATCTAGTTTGTACTCACTGGTTCTTTCGGTAAAGTCACGTAGGTATAAAAAAAAATGAAATTTTTATTAAATAAATTAAATCACGATGTTTCGATCGCAACACAAACAATCATCATCAGGTGGGAAAACCACAGCAAGAATTGTTTTTTGCTGAAGTGGGAGAGATACCGTGGTACGAGGTTATATAAGTAAGCGAAGGGGGAGGAGCAAGATAGGGGGAGGGGAGCGTTGCGTGGACGCTAAATCTTTTGTAGTCACTTTTGTATTACTTTCGTATGAATACATGTTCATTTTGATTCATATGTTGTATTTTTCTGACTTTTTGTGAACGAAAAGACACAAATTCGTCCGTTTTCTCATTGAAAATAGGTACATTTCAAAATATCACTGTCCTGGTCACAAAATAAAAGTTTGTGGGGAATAATAGCCATTTACTATACTTTTTAGGCATAAGCAATTATGAAATAACACTTACTTCCCAGGAACAAAAATTGTGTTACATAGTGTAATCATGTATGTGCAGTATATATGTAAAAGTCTAATAACTAGTAGTTGGGCTTTACCCAATTTCACCAGCTTGTGATAAACTCTAAGAGGGTGAATTTCTTGATTCACTGATTGGGATATATATTTAAGTGTTTAGAATGAGGCTTGTAGATATGTTTTCCGACCCTAATCGAGAAGTAAATCAATCAACCTCCAGGCCAACATTTTGGGGGCTCAAGTTCAACATTTTCAGATTTTGAATGTTTACGGTTAAGCAAGACTATGCTAAATTGTACCAAATTGAAGCTCTATATCCATTCGAAAATATTGTCAGAATTTCCAGGAGTCATTTAGTCAGGTTATTCTGGACCGCCTTTGAAAATTAACCTAGGTATACACACTGTGATGTGTTTTTTTTCAGTTGTGTCAATGTTGCAATATGCTTGTTATGAATTACTTTGGCTTGCTCATTTATATTTTGGGTCCAACTTTGCAGTGTAAATATTATTTCAGTTGAGCCTATACTTCTAGTGTTTTCTAATATTTAATCTCAACCACGAAACACGAAGGCAGCGAAGGGAACATTCCGATTCTGATCATTACAAAGATGTGGGTTCTGGGCAGGAGCCTCATTCTTTTTCCTTTTGATTTCCACTGTGTCCTCGTGTGGAAGCTATGAACACTTGGCTACTTAATGACATCCACAAGCATAAGGACCCTCTGCCACAACAAGTGAAAAATAATGCCACGTGTACTGCAGCTATTTAATAAATCACATAAAACTATGGGAAAAAACTATTTTTTTTTACCAGGTCATGACCACAGAAATATATATCTCTCTTGTTCAGCAGCGACCTGACTTCAAATTATAGCTCAAGGAAGAGGCTTATCACGTGGAAATGTATAGAAACCAAAAACTCTAAAACGCATGTTTTAAACGTGGAAGGAAAACACGGGGGACCTAATCCATGCAACCACTCGGAGAACATGCAAACTCCAAATATACAGGCACCATGGTCAGGATCGAACCCACTGCCTCCTGTATACCAGGCGAGGTAGTTAACATCTCGCCACTGTGGCACCCTCACCAGCTCATCAAGTTATTTTTAAGTGAGTTAGGTTAAACGGTTCTAGTCTTTTTTACCAGGTGAGAAAAAGAGACCAAGAGTAGCAAGGGTTACCAAAACTTACCAAAACAAAACAACGAGTGAAATGAATTAAAGCTAAACGTTGTACTACTTAAATTGTAAATGTTGTGGATTTACTCTCCAACACACCGGTGGGCTGAAGTAGTAACCATTTGGCGTTTTGTTTACGTGACAAATCCCTTACTAATTGGCTGTGTCGGGTGGTTGAGGGTTAAAACACATTTCTACTTAATCGATATAACCCAAATTTATTTATTATTAATATTATTGGTCGCTAAAGCCTACGTGTTAAACTAAAGCAAAATCAGCACGAAAAACAATTGCATCACTAGAGAAAGAAAATATATGACAAAATCAGTGTTAGATAATGAATTCCCTGTAAGATCAGTTAACTCAGGCAGATTATTTTATAGGAATCGTTATATATCACAAATAAGTTGCAGTAATATGAAAATATAAAAGTAAAAATGTGCTACAGTCTGTATTTAAATGTAACGGGCACATGTAATCACAGTTTTAAATCCGAAACAATGAGTGTCAAAGCAATGGCCTCTAAGTGAGAAAAGTTTTGTAGAGCATAGTGCTAAGGTGTGGGAGTAGTTAAGGGTTAAGAGAGGTAAGCTGCTGCATGCAGGCGGTGAGCCTACTCGTTCATCCAAGACCATATTTGTTCATATGTACCATTGGCCAGCGTTCCAACGCTTTGCCTTTTGACGATAAAAATCAATTTGTATGGATTTGCAAGATCCAATTCTGTGCTCTGGCTGCCTATGCGCTTGCTGCGTTCTAACTCCTTTTTAGTATCAGCCTCCCTAACCAAACCCACAGCCCTTATCTCTCTCCTCTCCTCTCACTATCCTCCATCTCATATTCATCGCTGTCCCCCCACCCCCATTATCTCCACCTTTCTGTCTCCCCAGACACACAAGCTACCACCAACATCGCACGCCCGCTGCACCCAGGATGGATGGGGCAATACCTGTACATATTGAATCCAATGCACATCATTTCAAGATTGCCATTTCTGTTGCTGCATTACAATTTAAAAATTGCTTTTATTTTTTCGTGGTGTTGCCTGTCGATACTGTTATTACGATTGCTTTCTTGGATTTGCCAGTACACGGACTCCTCTACTTACGAGCGAGTTAGGTTCCAGAGGTCTGTTCCTAAGTTGATGTATTCGTAAGTCCAAATTTACTCCTGTCGATCCAAAACATGTTGTATGGCATGTCCACAAAACACGGGGAATGGCTTTAACAGTTGTATAATCTACTGTCGATGCCACTAGTTCTTCATGTTCTTGAGATGCCACCACCGCAATATATTGCACGGTGGTTGAACTTACGATCTGAACAGGCAATTGGACATATGGACGGGTTTTTTCGTATCTTTGAAAGTTCGTAAGTCGAATGTTCTTAAGTAGAGCAGTCCCTGTATTAGGCATATTGATGTCCTGGGTGGCACTGAGTGTGCCTCTTTATAATTACGGGATAAAGTTCTGAGTCACAATAATTTGGGTCTGGGGTTGACTCCACCCTTTGTCCCTTTGAGGGTTGATCAAATGAGTACCAATTTTGAGTAAGTCAATAGCACATGTTGTGAAGATACTCGCTCCTGTCATGGGAACGTGTATTTTCTACCAACAGTTTGGTACTGTAACCAATGAGTAACTGTGGGAAGCTCATTTAAGCAAAAAACATCAACTGTGAACTGCTCACTTGAAATGATTGGTTACATCGCTTTGTGGTTTATTTATCATCATTCATTCCAATGGTAGATACATCTGACATCCCCGGATATGCTACTGCATAGGTTCATAATTGTGCTATATAGCTCCCCGATGCGTGTTGGGCCTGTACTCCTTATTGCAAGGCATGAGCTCCGATGTTTTGCTCCAAGTGCTGGGGACCTTAATCAGAAACTGAATTCAGTTGCGTGTGCAGCAGATAGCATGCAGTACAACCCGACAATGCAACGGAGAGCCATACCTGTTCATAGGGTTTTTTTTTTGCTTTAACCAGAATTGTGGCGATGCTCACTTTTCGCATTGCATTTTTCGCGAAACTTTAATGACAAAACGACATCGCTTCCACCTCCATCACCTGACACGGCACTACAGCCGTTTGCCCTGAACTTGAGGCAATTAAATTGTTTAATTCATCTGCCTGCAGAACATCTTAATGGAAGCAGACACGAGCAACACAGTCAGCAAAAAGACGACGACCAACATCTCTGCGCTGCATCAGGTAATGAGATGCTTGTTGCGGTTGATAAACCAGCGAAACTAAATTGCATCAGTGGTCGAAGCGAATTGCACAATGTGCACGAGAATGTCCCGGGCAATGGACACGCTGTTAGGCCCGAAGTTTGGACAGGCACCTTTCCAAACTGCACTCGTGGACACAGAAATCAATGGCTCATGTATTTCTGCAGCAAATACGTACTCGGCTTATTATTGCCACGCGGAGTTACTTGCCCGATCAGCACAGTTGTCGTGCACGACCACGCAAGTGCCAGCAAGTTTGGGGTATTGGCATTTCTGCAGGCCGAGCGACACAGCCCAGATAATTAATTCGAAAGTCCGCGAATCACTGCAGAACTGAAGATCACAATGTACACTTCTTGTACTTTCCGTGCTTCAGTTGATTTCTTTTTAATGGCTTATTTTGCGAAAAGACAAATTGCACAGAATAACTAAATCCAATGCAACTGAACATGTCTTGTGCGTTTCCTTCTGCCAAGTAATTCGGCAGAAATATGCAATATTTTAAAATTGTTGCCAATGTGCATTGGGCGTTTGCCGAGCCATTGGTGAATATACCACATTCCTTTGGCAAGAGCCAGGGTAGGCATAGACCTTGGTGGTTTCATGAATTAAACCCACCAGGTATGATGGCACACACCTATAATTCTGGGAGGAAATGTTGGTAGATCACGCAGATTCGAGCAATTCCAAAATCCGCTCGGTTGGCAAAGTATCGAGTAAGTAAAGCAGGTGAGTTTGTGAAGGTTTGAGAGTGTCATCGCCTCATATGCCAAGTGCATTTCTCTGAGCACTCTGGTTTCCTAACACATGAAAAAAAAAAACCTTCTTTAAACGGTAATTGGGTAAAAAGCCAATCCAGAAACTTCCTAAAAGAAACGGTAAAGATTTCATGGAAATATAATTTGTATTGCAGTTCCGCAATTGAATCACCATCAGCAGCAGCCACGGACAATCCACTGCTGGATGAAGGACACAAGCTTCCACCAACTCTCATGATCCAGCGATGTAAAAAAATCCACCTGAGCACCTGCACAAGAGTGTATTTCATCGCCCCATCTCTACCATCGCAGATGATTAAATAAGAGTTGCACGTGACCAAGGACCAGATTCCAGGCTGGACTACCAATTGGGGGAAGATATGCAACCTCATATATGCACACTGGTTCAGTGCAGGTTGGTGAAGAAATTCACTTGACATAGGGGAGTCAGGTGACCTTAGTCATTGCAGTAGCACCATGTTGATTGCAAGTGATGTTCGGATGTCTTAATCGCCCGTTTGTCGTCAGTCTATGATGCGGTCTGAATTTATCTAAAATGATTCTAACTTTGTGTTGCATCGCTTTACATTCCCGTTGTTTTGCTTATTTGAGCTGGAGCTAGAGGTTGTACCGCCGATATAAAAAAAAACATCTTCCTTCAGAGAGTGGCTTTTGGTGACATGGGGGTCACATGCCATTACGATGTGCTTCAGGCTTGTACCTTGTCCACTGAAGCATCTCAGCCTCATTCCATTTAATGTTAAAACAGGAATCGGAAGCATGAGCTATGGCATGTGTGCACACATACAAATAAGACAAATATTCCCCGTATAGCGTGCCCAGGCTGGCAGGTCAAGTTTTGTCGGTGACCACATATTTAGGCCAGCACGGTACACATGAGAGTGGGTGTGTGTGTGACTTGGCAGCATGCCCGGCTGCCTTCACCTCCCCAGTGCTGACGTTTCCACATTGCATCGGGTAATCATTTCAGGTTGAGTTGACCTAGGTGGTGACCCAGGTTCAGTGAACGTAAATCACCACCGAGGAAAAGGCGTGGGCCGGGAATCTAAATGTTGGTCGCCGGATTTGTAGCACCCAGGCCACCACTCCATCCCGGCACGAGCACTCACTCGCGCACGCTCACCCACCCACGCACGCACGCGCACGCTCACCCACGCACGCACGCGCACGCACACACACGCACGCGCGCACGCTCACCCGCGCATGCTCACCCACGCACACGCGCACGCGCACACACACAAAGACCAAAAGGAGAAAGAGAGAGAGAGAAAATAAATTGTTGTGCATTTTTTAGACCTGAAAGGGACACACGCAAAAATCGCACACCATGTAACGATTGGCCACAAAACAAGAAGGGAATGTTTCTTCTTTCATTTATACCAAGCGTGGTCATTTTGTTCAAACGCTTTGAAAATGCTAATTGACGGCGACCAGGAAAGCTGACTGGGGAGCTTGCATTATCACCATTTACCATTTTGATTAGAGGATTGCCAATAGTGGTTGTGTCACGGGTTGGTTTTTTTGGAAGCCTGCACTCAAAACGATAGTGCAACGGTCTGCAAGTCCGGAGGGGGGGTGGGGTGGGCCAACTGAGCTTTCTCCTTGATCACCTCATTTAGGATTAGCATTCTTTTAAAATGTAGCGCTGCACCTTGTAGATTAGCCTCTTGGTTAATACGCCTATGCTTTGCAAGTGTCTGCGCAATGAATTCCCTTAGCATTAGTGCTCTATGATAGCGCTGGACATGCATGTTTGATTTTTTGGCATGGACAGCGAACGCATAAATTAATCAAATTCACAGCTTAAGCCAGAGCCACTCACACACACACACAAAGTTGGCGTTTTAATTACTGAAATCGGGAACATTTTTATACATCATTGCGTTAGCGGAGACGAAGAATAAGGTCACATGCTGCCACAGATAGCACTGATGAATGGAACACATTTTCGAGGTGTTTTGCTTGAAAGCCCTGCATCATAACAGTAACATATGTTCGGGTGAATTAATAAATATAATTGCAGATGTGGGACTTTTCAGTCGAATCGTCCCCATTATTGCCTCACATTGTGGACACGCTGTTTTCGTAATGATATTTGGAGACGACTCCGCATGCATTTGTTTACGTGTGAAGCATAAGCATCATCTTCGACGTCAATTTCTTCCATTTAAACATTACAACATATATATTAAAGTGTAGTAAGCATGCAATTACAGAGCGAATGTTTTCTGCCTTTAAAAACAGTACGTACATTTCCTTCGCTAGCTCGTACAATGGCATAATAAGAAAAATATGTGTATGCTTCGGAACACGTGTTTGCCAAATATGGTGAAACGCCTCTTGGCCATATTTTATCATCTGTTCGATTAACCGTACCCCCCCCCCGCTCTCCCCGTATAGATCCATGCAAAATACTACCGCACGCATGGTGATTCTTTCCATTATCTAAGGAGGCACCTGAAAGTGGTCTCCCAGGAGAACTAAATTCATCCTAGTACAATCAGAGCTTCGTGTGAACAAGGAGTGACCCAATAGCGGCATCAAAACAATCCCATTGTTCACGTTCGTCCATGCTTTACCACTCCGATAAAAAGGAGCACTTTGTGTGGATGAGCACGAACAATAGGGTCTTTGCCTCCAGCATGCCACATTAAAATCGGATAAGAGGATTTTCCTGGTAAACATGAAGTGCATATATATATCCAACCATCACATATCTGCATGCTGTATTCCATTGATTGAAATAACTGTTGCCCATCCATCCCATGACCGAGTGGCTAATGTGAGATTTAATGTGGATTATCAAGGAAGACGATGCCCATTGGTGCTTGATGAATATTAAATTGTGTGTGTTTTGCACATCGTATTTACAAACTTTAGTTTTGAGGCCATCGGTGAAGGTCAATTTGAACTCGCGAAAAGGAGTTTCAATTACAAATCATTGCAAGGAGGTTATCAGAGTCGTGCACCTGCATCTGAAGCTAAGAAATCTCCTAAGAGAACAGTCAAGAACGCCATTGTACAGGACGCTGGGAGATATCCTGCTTTGGCCCGCCTTTGTTACAAATAATGTTCCTGCCGAGATGTGTTACTGGGCTATCAGTGTAGATTTATATAACTCATTATAATAATTATTTTTTTTTTAAAATGCATATGCATGCAGCATTAAAGAAAAAAAAAACATAAACATGTGTCCCAACAGATTGCTACAACTATGCGTGGACACGTTTATCTTTTTTTTTTCATTTTAATAATCGCTATGTTATTAATGTAGTGCAATTGACAACATGTACCAGACCAAATCTAAAAATTCACACATTGCTTTGGAAACCAACAACAAAAATTCGTACGTAATTATACCCATGCTAAAAGTCAGATTTTTTTTTTTTTTTTTTTTTACATTGGGCTCTGGCAAACCGGATGGTGTACGGACCCATCAAGCGTCAATTGAAGTGTCACTGCCGGAATAGGGAATACATTATGACGTAGGACCAAGCGTTGAGCAATGTAGCGACTTACGTCGATGTGCTCCGCAGGTGCTTGCCAACGCCCTTAATGGTCGTTCCCAACGGTGCCCAATAATAAACCATATTTATTTGACCAGGTAAGGCCCACTGAGCTATATACAGAAGCTCTTTTTTTTTTCAGAAGCAACCTGACCACAAATTATAGCTCAACGAAGCGGCTTATCACGCGGACATTTATAGCAGCCGCATTGCGCCAAATTTACGTCTCTGAATGTTGGAGGGGGAAAAACCGGAGACAAACCCACACGACCACGGGTTTAACATGCAAATTCCAAATATGCAGCAGGCGTCAAGTTGTTGGGATCAAACCCACGACTTAACATCTCGCCACCGTGGCACCCGTAATAAAGAACATGCAACTGCCCAGACTGTGTTCTTCATCTATCAAGCCTTTGTATATCTGTGAGCCAGGTATAATAAGACAAGGATCCAAAAAGATGAATAAATATTCGTGAAAAATGGGTTTCATCTTTGCGTGGGCACTGCAATTTTACACTGCAAACGTCAGCAAGTTTCCATTGTGCAATTGTCAGTACACGGGCTAGCGACGGTTCGTTCTCTGCGTGTGGCAGTTGAAGCAATTGGTAAGTTTCTCATATCACAATCCTTCGGCCCCATTTGTACACCCAGCAAGTATAACTGGGGTCACCACACTTAGCCAATTGGCAGGCCACGTACGGTTGGGTAGAGATTGTGGAGTCCGACCTTTTCCAAGACTTATGGCCAGCATAACATGGAAGAGTAAGTAAAACACCTTCCATGAGAGGCTCCCGAGAGCGTCCTCAAATGGAGGCCTTTCCACGGGGCTGTGGTGCGAGCGAGGCATTGCAGGGCTGCACCTTTAACTTTGAAGCCAATGTGTTTAATATCAAGGTCAAGAGGTCATCATGGGCAATGCCGTTGATGGTACCACACCTTTCCATCGCTTCCTTCCTCCCCACCTGACCTTCAAAAGTGTCGGCTATCGTGCCCTGTTGTGTTGCCACTTATAACACAGGGCGATCCGTTTATAGATACACCAAGAAAATAACAGGGAGACGTCCGAGACAAACAATATTTTATTTTAAACCCTCTACGTCTCTCAGTCTCAATGCACGGCATCAATGTTCAATAGCACTCTGCAGCCATGGCCTTCATAGTGTCGTATCCAATCACCGACTGACAAGAGGGCCAGTCGAAAATCAGTGGGGGTGTCTATAAATGGATAACCCTGTGTGTTTATAGTACTGGCACTGCAGTACCTGCGAGGCTGGTTTACTTTGATTCTCCGCTTCTCTGAACGTGCGACAATTGACTCCACCAAGAGATGGTTTGGAAAGAGGCATTATGGTTACACCTCCAATAAAGAATGGCTTGACAACTGAATATCGTGCATGGATAGAAATGTTATCCTTCTTCTTCTTGTCACGCAATCGGTTTCCTGAGAAACGTGGAAATATGCAATTGACTCCGACAATTTCATTAAAATATAGTATTATCTACAGCATGCTGTATTGATAAAATACACAAAGACCATTAGAGTAATTCTCGAGCAAAACTGGACACAATGCAAGCGAGATTGGGCAAGGTCGTTGTAAAAGCGAAAATTAAGGCAGCGGTATTTCTTCTGACAAAAATAACCAGAATGAAACAATGGCAAAGGCACCCCATCGAGGTGAATGAATGACATTAGTGAACAACTATTAATGCCAACATGTAACACACGGATGTAGCGTGGGTGGCACTGTGCATGCCTGGATGTCATATCAAAGCTGATATTTTTAAAAAAAATTATCACACTAGGTGCTCTTTTAGGGTGGTTGACCTGGGTGAGGCTTAGGTCAGGTTCACAGGTATGTGAACTCAAATCAGGAATCAAACCCAGGTCACCAGGATCATAGTCCAGTATATTAATCACTGTTCCACCACTCTTCACAATACAAAGAAAGACAAAATTCCCCCGTATAGCCTCAACAAACTGTTGGGACAAGTCCTGTTAGCACATATGAAGGCTGGCATGGTACACGAGAGAGTGGATGGTTAGCACCACGCCCAACCACCTTCGTCTCCTCACTGGCGATGATTTTACACACCGCACCAGGTGCTCATTTGAGGCTGAGTCTGCCCAGGACCAGTTCAGATAATCGTCACTGATGTTGGCCGTGAGCGGGAATCGATTTCAGGTCGTTGGGTTTATAGCATAGTGCACTAACAACTACACTACCGCTCCCCACACGCACACATACAAAAACATACACACACCAGGAAATATCATATTAGTTGTTGCCATGACATTGCTGGGAACACGTTTTTTTTACTAAAACCTGTGACGTTTCATGATTTTGGCATGAGCGGCATTTCACGGAACCACACCCAGATCAAAGCTCACATCCGTCACTGGTCACACCTCGCCATTTCCTTATACAACCCAGAAGCATAAAGAGCTCACACATTTGGTGTCTAATATATATACACACACATATACACGTATTTCAAATACCCCTTTGTGTTGTCAAGCAAAACCTGTAATCAATGCACTTGCAGTATCTCGAAGAAACAAACATCTCGATACTGCCATACACATTTGTTTTGGGTTAGGCCACATGAGAGTGTTATGCCAAGTTACTTTTACTTAAACCCTCCACCAC